ATCGCAGGTGCAGCAAACGGATAGGGAGACCAGACCGACAGATCACCGGCTGATCGTTTCCAGTTAGGACTGCGCAAGGCAGCCAGAGAAATTAGTTATGGAAATCGATGATTCCAAGAGCGAGTACGCGAGGAAACAAGAACGGTATAGGTAGTTTACTATCGCTTTCAATTGAGTGCAGGGCTGAACCGATCTCCGTTCTCTTGTTCTAATCAATAGTGGGAGTACGCGAGCCGATCCAGAAAACAGAACAATCCAGTGGTTGAAAACACCACGGACTGAGCTCAGTTCCATTCATTTATGGACAGCGTTCCTCTCTCTCTGAGTGATTGCGACGACAGACAACGGAGTCCTGATAGATAGGGGCTGACATCACAAAGAAGGGTGAATCGCATGAAATTTCAACGATCGGCAGAGCAAATGTGGAAAAAATTCTGTTGAAGTTGGGCTTTTGGGCGATACTTGTGCAGGCGGGATACGGTAATCTTGAAAATTGCTAAGAAAGAGCCTTTAAAGATGACGAGAATATTGGACCCTATTTCTTCCACTCTCTTAAGTCGGTGGGCAACCTTTTCAATGGGGAGGGGGGGGGTGAGTAGAAAGCGGTTGTGATCCAAAAGGTGAACTTTCGCGCTCGAACTATGAGGAGCAATAGCGCCAAAACGACTTACATATCAAACATACCTAGCCGGACAGGAGCTCGCTAACGCGCTTAAACAGGAAATCTACGTATTCAAGCAAGAGGATATACCTTTCGTGAAGGGTTTATCAAAAAAATCGCTCTGTCGTGGCTTTGAATGCCTTCGGATGTAAACATATTTGAAACGCCCCACATGTTGGAAAACATCGCGTGAGAGAATGGATTGTTACAGATTCAGGCTTTGTAAGGTGATTATCTGGGCTTAATGAGCGCGATAGCAAAAGTGATTAAGTAAAGTTGAACGAATTGGCATAACAAAAGTTCAGCAAGGAATCGTTAGAGGAGCCGGCACTGGCAGCTAGTTTTTAGCCAGCAGAGTGGTGATTGTGGGCGATGAAGCTGTACACACTGGACGGCTTGCTGGAACGATACTCACGTGTGCGGTGTGTGTGAGCAAGGGTGCGAGTGGCGTGCAGGACCTCAGAACAACGGAAAAAAATCATCAAATCTGCGAGCGCCAAACTGGACCGGAGAGGTCCCCAAGAGGTACTGATGTGCTTCCCGTGCATCTCTGTTACTTATCGTTATCAAAACAATAATGTTATTATTATCAAGAATGTTAATATTATAAACTGGATATGGAGGCTGAGGAGGTGTAGTGGCAAGCAGCACGCTTTCCACACGCGCGGTTCACGGGTCAAACTCCGAGTCGGCTCCTGCCCAGGTCTGCCAACCCTTTAACCACAGGGGACGGTAGATTGATACCAGAATCGTCTGGAAAGATCAGAACAGTGCCTTGTGTATCGGCTGGTCCCCTACATTGGCTGGCTCCGCAAGTTCACTGTATAAGCCGCATCGCGCTCAATGAGCCACTACGATTCTGAGCGGAAGTGTTAGGTTGGAAAAACGTCCTGCAACACATGGATTAAATTGCTCTAGAAAAAAACTTTGACTATTGTTTACACCTTGATCAGGTAGAGAGTGTTCTCTGAGGGTTGTGCAATCGGGTAGAGTATGGCTCCGTGGAAGATTCCAGAGCATTAAAGTACCAAGTACCCCAATAAGGTACATACTTCTCGACGTATCCCATATTATAAGCTGTAGGGACACTCAGCCGAAGAGGCCAACAGCTCCATTGTCCTCAGGAAGCATGTCGCTCGCCATGACACACTGTCTCGTTGTAATCACCGCTCGCAAGCTGGAAATGTTTTATTCTAAGGTAGGCACTATATAGGTCGGCCACCAACACGGAATGACGACCGTTTACTCAACCCCTGGGCGCACAGCTGAACGTAACTACCAGTAGGTAAGCAGCATTTTTGGGATGCACCTAGGTGACGACTAGCACACTTTTCCACAATCCTGATTATGGAAAGATTTTCTGTGAAGGATGCTAGGTGTGCGGCCAATCTGGCAAAGCGCACCGAATGGTTGTGTCCGAGCTTTTCGTTTTCGTACTGGAAGAACTCCTTGAGAGGCAATGTGGTTGGTAAAGAGAGCTGGGCTTCGTACCTAATCCATGCGCATAACCTGACAGGATCTCGCAAGGAGGGAAACTGCCCCTCCTCAGCCAAAAGCATGGAAAGTGATTTTAATGTGCTATTTGTGGTACCTGAGATTTAGTCGCTTGCTAGTGGCCGCGCAGTGACGGCCACATTCTACTCTATCCAACTTTGAAAAATACTCAATTTCGAAGATCACTTTTCCTCAGTGATGCGAAGACCTCGTGGCGGTGATCAAAAGACTACTGATCTCAATCAGAGAATCGACCGTGCACAGTCCATTCAGCGAGCTCACAGTCTACAACCACCAACTACTTTGGCTTGGTGGCTAATAGTCATAACCTGTCGTTTAGTGAAGGAACGTTTGATCGTGGATCTCAGTCAAAGTCTTGCAGGATTTTTTAAGCGTAACGCACTGTCTTGTTTCAATCCTACTGTGCTTTATAATCACGCCACGCCAGGAGCATCAAGTGGACTAGATGACGTCGAGGTCATCATACATTTTGACACTGTTCATCACGTCACGTCTCCGTTGTCAACGAATTTCGTTCTAAGTGAAGGCGGAGGCCATAAAATGCCAGTCTGGACTCTAGTCTGACGATTTGGATCACTTTTCAGAGGTGTGCGGAGCTTCTAATAGTAAGCTGAGCCACCCATAAAAAGGCAAAAATTCTGAAGAGAAGGTCAACACTTCACAGAAAGACATAAAAGTGGGCTTGGTCCGGTAGACTGGGCCTAGCGTGCCAGTATATAGATGCACATCTATGAGCACAATTTTCTTGCAAAGGAAGATATGAAAAGAACGAAGCCGAAAACCTATAAAAACTCAAAACTGGCCCTACCTAGGCATTTCCGAAGGTTCCAGTCGGCTCCTTCTCACTTTATTTTGGGGTGCACCCCGCATTGGCCGCGGTGGGGGCGGAGCTAGCGACGCAGGGTCCCACAACGAATGCCGGGTGCCGGCGTAAATTGGTGGCAAATTGCCGCCGGTGGCCTGTAGAAAAATGGAGCGTGGTATTTCGCAACGAGCCGCCAATCAGGGCGGCATTGAGTGGGCCAGCGCGGCTTGGACATTGGCCAAAACCAGCGTGGCGCGGTTCGCGTCGTGGAGACGCAGGGCGGGGGGTGGTGGGGAGTCGTTTGGGGTTAGGAGGGGTCTGCTCGTGGGGGGGGTGGGTGCGTGCATATCTTACGGGATCTGCTGTCGGCGACGATTCGTGCCTTCCGTCTCATCCTGCTTATCTTGTTTAGCTAGTGGTAACGCGGAGATACTACCGCGCTCAGTGGGCCAAATTCTATATGAGGGTCTAAGTATCATTTTTTAGCGTTGTGTGAGGATGTTTGGTCGTAGTTGTCCAATGTATTGTCGCATTCCCGAGATGGGTTCGGGGCTGGGACTGCATTCTGGCATTTTGTTTTGCCGCTCCTCAATCCCTGGCCATAACGCTATCATGCATGAGGCTTATTCAAATGTTTATGGTAACCACTCATTTCGAACATAGCTGGGTATTCTGGCTCTTTTTTCTTCAGTTGTTCGGATTACTTTTTACAGTGCATTATAACGATTTTATCTACTTCTCTTCGCTATGCCGGTTGTTGGCTAGAGATTTCGGGTTGGAAGTCTCTGCTATTTTGGCTCTCACTTTGTGTTGTTGGAAATCTTTTGGCTTCTTTTTCGAGTAATGCCGGCTTCTGTTTCAGAGTGACGTGAAAGTAAAGATACTCTACAGGAGGGAATAGTTTCAGCTTTTCCAGTTGACTCTGATTTTTTTTCTCTCATATTAAGAAACGCTGAGTCCTATTCCAGATTCGTCTCAATCATCCAACTAACATGGCCACTTATCGAACAGATGCTCCGGCAGCGGTGAACGAAAGCGCCATAATGTCTAGGGAGGTATGCGATGCTTTTGCAGAGAGCGAACCGCCCTAGTTCAGCAGAAGTCGCGTTATCCTTCGCTCAACCTCCTGCATCTCTCGCCACTAAACCGACCTTCACGAAACCGGGATAAAAGGATAAGGATAAAGTCTTCGCCGTTGATCAATCCCTTTGTGGGATGCGGCACGCATTCTACTTCCATTCAGAATCGTAGTGGCTTATTGAATGCGATGTGGCCTATACAATGACTTGCGGTGGCCAGCCGATGTACAAGTCAGTGTTTTATCCTCCCAGACGAATCTGGTACCAATTTACCGTCCCCGGAGGGTAGAAGGCTTGGTTGGCCTGGGCGGGTGTCGACCCGGGATTCGAACCCGGCGCCGCGCGAGTGGTAAGCGCGCCACTTGTCACTACACCACCTCCGCCTCGAAACACTGTTGTTGGAAATCGGCGAGACCAGGCCGCTGCGACTCTAGTCAAATGTTTTTTTTTCAAAGGCTGATCCTAGCGTAGTTGAGTGCACACTGAACACTGCCTTAATCGGAAAGTGCAGAGAACTGGGAAAGTCCTGCGCGGGAATCGGAAACATCTCAAGAAATCAACAATGTTGGGACAGCCATGAGTTCGCTTGGCTGATGATGGTCTTACTTTTTTGATCGTAAACTTCTTTTCATTTCAGCTAACGTCAGCTTGGACGTCAACTGAGGACAACATTCAAGATATTCAAGGTTGATCCTTACCTAATGCTCAGTTTTGGTCTTCTCGCGTCTTCTTTCGTAATTAGCGGACTTCTAGGAAATCTTTGCGATCTTCTCAAGGATGCCTCAACGACTCTAGAAGAGCTGGACAAGGATATGAACGATGAACGAGGTTGTTTGAAGTTGTTACCCGTAGTGGTTTAATTACCCAATTTTGAGGATGAGTGTCTTTCAACCGCACATAGTTGCTGCACCGAACGAGCACAAAAATCCCGTTTCGGTTCATGTCATGGAAACCGGGATATCAGCGGCAATACGAGTTTACCTCCAGTATTTTGAAGTTGGTCGCTCTTATAGCCCAACTTGCCCCAGACGATTTTGACGTGAGGAATATGCTTGATAAGGCCGTCACAGCGCTACATCAGTGCAATGAACTCCAACTTGCGGACAAAGACCCCGACGTCTGGGAGTTTTTCGATCAGCACAGTAAAGAGGAAAGTTTTGGGGTTTCAAATCCTATAGTGGCGGCCTTTCTGAGGGAAAAAAGAAACAGGAGAAGAAGGAGCCCGGAAGCACGGTGGGCTGGGGCCGTCTCCATCCCTATCAAACAGCGACCTTTCGTCCCTTTCGAGCGGGAGGGGCGACGTGGGACCTCGCCCCTCCTCCTCTCTCTTTCCCCCCCCCACCTTCGGTCGCGGTGGAGCATACAGAAGATTCGCGTCCAATACCAACTCAATCTACCCTAGTTTCTTTGAGCGAAGCAAAAAGCCAATTTGTTTGGACTGTGGCAATCTGACCACATCCAAGTAGTGTAGAGACAGTTCCAAAAAGTGAGTTTTCAGCTGTAGGGTATCATGGGAGGACGCCGTTTTGGTTGGCCTCGGATCTTTCGAATTTAGTCTGCTCCATCGCTGAAATTGGTTGGATGTCTTCTTGTATGGTCCAACCAGAACTGGAGTCCTCTAGAAATAACCCCCAGTATGTGTTCGGATTCTCGTCTTTTGTAGATACGGCAATCAGTAGGATTGCTAACAAGGCAATTCAGGAGATCGTGGACCCCGCTCTATTCGTGTTAATCCCACCTAAGTGGCATTTAGAATCTCCACTTCCGCTTCGCTCCCCGTTGAGCTCAGGGATGTTTCTTCCAACGCCCAGAAATTTTACGCAATTTTGTCCAGTTTCGAAACTTTCGTTAAAGATCTCTCCTTCCAGGACTGCAGCTGGTTTTCTGATAGTCAGTGCGCAGTTGGCATCTTAAAAATGAGGGAGTTTAAAACATAACGTGCAATCGCTAGCGCGTCAGGTTTGGGACTTGTGCGAAACACTACGTGCCAAATGGAATTCCTCTGGATTCCCAGATTCCTCAATGTGTAAGTGGACGCAGCATTTCATTTCGTAGATCTCCCTGTAGATGATATGGGCGTCCTCACAGCCCTAT